GAAAATCTTTTATAGACTTCAAAAATACCATGAATCATGTGCACGTGCCTTCCTTGTACGACTTATTTCTACGCTGAAGCTAAAATTTGAAGTCAACACCCACAAGGTATCAGTATATATATATATAGAGAGAAATAGCCTAGTGCTAGGTAGTCACTCAGAATGTGATAATAAAAAATCTCTGTTTATGGCTCTATTCATCCTTGTAAAGCAAGCTTGGTGCCTTCTATATGAATTCTTTTTAATTTCTCGTCTGTTTGTATGAATGACACATATTGTGAGTGACTTGTCACTGAGGGTGTCTTGGTTGAATATGTACTTGAATACTGGATAGAGTCTTCATCATATTCTTTTATATTCTGAAGGATTCCTTATTCAAAAAAAAAAAAAACACTCAATAATGTTATTTTTTTTGGAAAGATACATGAATACAATTATGGTGGGGGAAGGGTTCGGTTGTGTCAGGTACAAGTGTTTATTCCATTGGGTATTACATGGGCAGGACTCCTTTGTGACTCTTGGATTTTGGGTACCAACTCCTGAACATTGACGGAAAAAAAGATCTTTAGACAGAAATCTTTCAGATTCTAATGGGACTAACCCTTTTCTTTAAATTTTTTCTTTTCACCTCGGAAATGCATTTAATTTAAGAGAAAAGCTTAGGTTCGGTTTTCAACGTTTACATGGTTGGTTTTCACTCGTTCACCAACAACGAATAAGGGTTGGTTTTCACTCGCTAACCAACAACGACCCTTCGGTTTTCACTCGCTCACAAAGGAAACAAACAATGACACAACCTCTCGGACACACTGATGCCTCTCTAATATTTTTTTTGTCTCTCTTTTGTGTACACATTAAATATACTAAAAGTGAAGACAATGCTTGTTAGAAGTAGAATAAAGAACTTGTAGTTGGGTAGACAATTATATAGAAGGTTGGGTGAACTTTTCTTCATCAGTTTCTCGTACTTATAGTGTTGGCTCCATATTGACCTTTGCATCACATCCTTAAGTCTTGTTCCTCATTTTCTTCCAATATTAAAGGGGTTGAAAAGAAGCTGACATGAAAGAGTTATCAAACAGATAGTCACCCCAAAACCTTAATTCTACGGAAAAGGTCCAATAATATCCATAAACTATGGTATATAGCTCACTTATGCCCTCTGTTAGTAAACTGGGCCAAAAATATCCTCCCCGTTAGCAAAATGGCCACTAATGCCTTCAACCTAACGGCTCCTTCCTATCAGCATTTTGTATCCTACATGGCATCCACATATATAAGCCATGACATGGCATCTACATAAGCTATTCCACATAAACCCGCTCCGAATCCAAATAAGCGGATTCCAAACAAAAGCGCGAAGGCAGTAACCAGAAGGTCCAAACCCCATTTCCAAACAAAAACCTAAGTTCTTCCATGTCCGTTCTTCCATGGCGATTTGAGAGGTAAGGGGATGATACGATAGAGCAAGGTTTAACAACACAAATTGAAGATCATCTGAAGATATTCGGGTAATTTTCCCTTCTATTTATTAGGTCTCTGTCTTGAACTTCAATTTTTTTTTTTTGTAATTTTCTAGGGTTTTTTCATGTTCTGGTATTTCTGATCCTGTCTTCTAGTGTATAGTGTTTGCATGTGGGTCTTGTACTCTTTTTGTTTGTTATCTTTGTTGTTTCCTTATGTGGTGTCAATTTGTGCCCTAGGTGTACATCATTTTTGGCTGCGAGTGTCCTTTTCACATATTTTATCATAGTGTGGTAAGGATGGGTTGTTGAAATCGATAGAATCATGTGCATTTCTTCTTAAAGACAGTGTTTTTTTGCTTTCAACTGTGGTTTGAAATCGACAAAACATGTGTTTTATCTCTTAAAGTGTGTGCTTTATTCTTTCCACTATATTATATGCAGTAATTTATTATATGTTCAATGTTTTATTGTCAAAGTTATTAAATTATTCATGTGGTCCCTCTATGTTTTCTTTTGTGTCTATATTATAGATATTTCAATATGGGGGACCACGAAGAGCCAATTTCAGGTCAATATCAGTGTGAATTAGGTACTGATTATGAATCTGATAGTGATAAAAGTTCAGATTATGGTTCAGATGCTAGTTAATATGATTTTGAAGAATTAGAGTTACTTAGGATGCAAAAGGGTAAAGAAGTTAATGATAAGCTTAGTCACTATAAAGAGCTTGATAAGTCTATGGCATTTAAGGACTTGGAAGAGGCCAAAAAAGTCATGAACTTCTATGCTATTGCAAATTCCAAACTTTTGAAGCTTAGAAAAAGGGATAAAATAAGAGTAATGTATAGATGTGTAGTAGGTTGCCCTTTTGTATGGCTCATCTCTAAAGATAAGAAGTGTCCTGGATTTAAGATAAAAACATTGAAGACATAACACAACTGTGAAGATGCATTTGAGAATCCTAGAGCCAAAACAAAAACTTTAGCTGAATATTTCAGGAGTAAGGTGCAGAATAACCCCAAGTACAAGATAAAGGATATGAAACTAGATTTGAAAAATCAATTCTCATTGAATGTACATAACTCCACATTGAAAAGGGCTAAGAGGATGGCACTTCAACAATTGCAAGGAAGCTTTTTAGATGACTATAACAGATTAGAAGCATATGCAAATGAGATTAGGAAGAGCAATCCCGGTAGTGATGTGGTTATCAATTTATCAAAAGATTCCATGGCTGAAGGTAAAAGATGATTTCTTAAAATGTACATATGCTTCAATGCAATGAAGTTGGGGTTCAAACAAGGGTTGAGACCATTCATTGGACTAGATGGGACTTTCTTATAGGGTCATTTCAAGGGGCAATTATTGGTGGTTGTTGCACAAGATTGTCAGAATCATTTCTATCCCTTGGCTTGGGCTGTAGTTGATGTCACACCTCCTTTTTACCACCCGAGGGGGTATAGGGGAGTTTTTCCAATTTAAGTGACAATCAAAACGGGATTACTTATATTAAAATCAGAGTCGCCACTTGGGATAATTTATGGTGTCCTAAGTCACCAGTTTAAAAATTCCAAATCGAGGAAGATGACTCTAATTATGGTCTGCGAACACAGAAATCCGGGTAAGGAATTCTGTTAACCCGGGAGAAGGTGTTAGACGGGTTCCGTGGTTTTAGCACGGTCGCTTTGATCATACTTGGCTTATTAAATTGTTTAATTACGTATTTCAGAACCTATGTGCATTTTACCTTTTATCACTTTTAATCAAGAAAATTATCTTGAAACGGGTCACGCGTATGTGTACCCGTTTGTTTGGCACGTCAAAAATCATGTCACGCGAACGTGTCCACAATTAATAACGCTTTATTATTATTAAGAAAACTTGGCCGAAGTTGCGCGAACGCATACTCCGGTTTTGTTTTTTAGAAATCGCAATCATGTCACGCGAACGTGTCCACAATCACGACGATAGATTAATTTGTGCCTGAAGCAACTACGAGCATCTATCATTTTTATACTAAGTTATGAAATTAATATGAGGGCCATAGATGACTAAATCGTGGATGGCACACCTCGGACTATATGAACTAAATTAGCGGCCTATTAAAATAATTTATTATTAAGAAGAGTTTGATCGAAGTTGCACGAACGCATACTCCAAATTGGTTAGAATCGTAATTATGTTAAGCGAACGTATACACAATCACGATGGTTTATTAATGAACTCATTCTAGACCAAGTTAATTGCAAGTCTAATGGCCCGTTAAAGCTAACAATTTCATATTCTTGCCACAATAGGAAAATATTATTTTACTCCATAAACTTAAGACCAAAACCAAGGAAACTTTGTAAACCACATGAATTTTTAAATCAACAGAAAGTTTTCATAAAAGACAAAATAAGTTCATCTACATAACTATTAAATCCACGAATAAACAACTTATCAATCCAAAGATGGTACAATCACAAGCACAGTATAAATCAAAATAAACACTCTTCGTTCAACATCAAAAATAGAGTGACTAAAAAAAAACTCGTAACAAAGGGATAAACATAGAGAAATCGGACCTTTATTGATGGACAAAACTGAAAATTACAAGTCAATCGGGCTAAACAAAGCAACAATCCTTGAACCGAAATAACGAAATTAACGATCCGAAACCTCAAATTAACACCGGAAAGCTCGAAACCCAAATCGACCTCAATCAAACGATAAACCAAAACCTCCAAATATTTGACAAATATCTACAAATGGTACATTGAAAATCGGACAGAAACGCAACGTGATGCTGGAGATGCTTTCCACGCAATTGAAGCTTTGAGATATTATAAGGATGAATACGGGAAATTACAAGAATTCGATTTGGATATTTGCAGGGATTAGAGTGTCATGTGTCAGTTTGGAATACTCAAAAATGTTAGCATCTGAAATGCTTGCTTTAAAATGCTTCCGCCTTTTAACCAATTCGAGAAGGTGGACCACGAATTGGTCAGTTTGGAATACACCTCTTTATTGAATCCGCCGTTTTTGTGTGTTAGCTAGGTTTTTGGAATTGAAAACTTAGGGTAGGGTTTCTATAATTGGGTATTTTATATGGTGATGGGAAGGGATGATGGCCATTGGATTAGAAGGAAAATAGATGGCTAGGATTAAATTTTGCAGTTAAGTGGGCTAATGGGTTGGGAAGAATGGACTAAGGGTAATTGGGTTGGACTATGTCTTTTGGGTTTGAACTTAGGTTAAAAAGATCAAATAGTACAATGTATCTAAAAAAATGTAAAAATCACTATAAATTAAAATAAACTAATATAAAACTAAATACTACGAGTGAAACTAATTTTTTTTTTTTGTATTTTCAAATGTTATAATACTATAAATAAAATATACTAATTGACTTTAACCTAAAGATAAAAAATATTTTTTTTGTGATAAAAACAAAGTAAAAGAGTCAAAACTATTTAAAATAGCGATATTAAACCTAAATTAAATATTTACGCTAAAATGTGTAAAATTTTGGGGAGGGTCAAAAATTACATGTCTACAGTTGACAAGGAAAACACCTTGACATGGACATGGTTTCTGGAGCTGCAGAAACACTCATTGAATCTGAAAGATGGAACCAGTATTACCTTTATGTCTGATATGCAAAAGGTACAACTTATGATTTTGTTTAACCGACTATTCCAGTTATTTTTAAGTTATTATATAGTTAATTCTATTTAAATTTACATGTGCAGGGTCTGTTGGAAGCAGTAAGAACTGTCCTCCCTCTCTCAAATCATAGGTTTTGTGTGAGGCATATTGAAGCCAACTGGAGTAAGAGGATCAAAATTTCAGGAGAGATGAAGAAATACCTATGGTGGTCTGCTTGGAGCACTTATGAGGAGGACTTTAAAGATCAACTAAAGAATCTTGGTGAATTGTCTGTTGATGCTGCCAAGGAGTTGCTTAGGTATCCACCACAGAATTGGCGTAGGTCCTACTTTGATACATTGTGCAAAAATCAGATGGTGGACAATAATTTTATAGAGTCCTTCAACTCTTGGATCTTAGAAGCAAGAGGCAAGCCTATCCTGAAGTTGCTTGAGGATATTAGAATCAAGGTCATGAACAGGTTGAGAGAGAAGGAAGAAGAAGCTAGAACATGGGGAGGTGAGTTTAGTCCTAACTGCATGAAGTTGTATACTGCTTATTTGAAGGTAGCCAACTTATGTACTGTTCATTTCAATGGTGAAACTGGTTATGAGGTTTCTGAGGGTGGTGATAGACATATAGTGAACCCAGTGGAGAAAAAATGCACCTGTAGATCCTGGCAGTTGACTGGCATCCCATGGCCTCATACCATCAGGGCACTAAAATACGAGAAAGAGGATCCAATGACTGAAATTAGTTGGTGGCACAGCAAGGAAGCTTACCTGATGACATATAGGGCCAAGTTGATGCCTGTTAGAGGTGAAAGTGATGGTAGTGAACATGAAAGTGACCCTGCTTTAATGCCTAAGAATATTTCTGAAGATCAAACAAGACTACTGATGAGGCAGCAACAATTGACCTCAGCATGGACAAGAGTCATCTCTTTCAGAGGAGATCATACTGGTGTCGTTATCCCACTGATCATCCTTACTCACCTACTAAGCTCACTTGGAAAGGCAAAGAAGCTGTGACTGGAAATCAATTGGAAGTGGCAAGACAAAAGAAAGTCGGAAAATTGAAGTGTAGGAAACTCAATGGGAACTCACAAATCTAGGAATCTTGGTTATTGTATGTAGTGGCAAATCTGGGAACTTACAGAACCCTTTTGTTTTGATGTTTTGGTTGGTACTGTAATATTATAGCAGTGCTGTTTGGTTTAGTAGTTGTTTTGTAAACATGTTTTGATGGCTGGACAGTGTTGTTTTGTAGCAGCAGTAAACTAAAATTTTGCTGCAGTGCTGTTTGGTTTGGCAGCAGTAAATTAGTATTACATCAGTGCTGTTTGTTTTGATATTTTGCTGGACAGTGTTGTTTTGGTTTAGTTTGCACATCAGTGCTGTTTTGTTACAACTGTTTTGACACTGTTTGTTTTGTTGGACAGTGTTTAATTGCAGGTGACAGTGTTTGTTTTGTTTTGTTACACAGCAGTGCTGGTAGTTTGCTAGGCAGTAGCAGTGCTGATAGTTTGCTGGGCAGTGCTATTAGGATATTTGATTGGCTTTAGTTGTCTAGTCTACTGCATATGGTTGATGTGTATATGTTGAGTCTGCAATTAAAGAGTTAGCATCAATTAACTATACGTTTGGGTGAATTAGCAATCGATGCTTAGTGGTCGATCCTGAATACAATTTAGTGTGGAGTCAATGCTTGTATGCTGAAATTCTATGGTCTGTTCTACTACAATGCAAATTGCCAAGTATAAATGGTTCGAATATCTGTAGCTATTGCTTGGAGCAGGATGTGTTGTCTATAAAACTTAAATTATTTGATTGTCTTTTAGTTATCGAGTTGTGTGTAGTTATAAGTTAGTTTCATGAGATAAAGTTACTCAGCCATGTTTAGAATGAATAACATTCCAGCCTTGTTGGTGATAGTTTGCTGTATATTTTGCTGGGCAGTGCTGTTTGGTGACAACAGATTGTGGATACTCTCCATTTTAGTATGTGAAAACAGATTGTGAATGCTTTGACCTACTTAATTAAGCACAAACTAATCGGACAAAACATATACAAGTTAATCAATCAAGATATTACAAAAAACGAACTTCCACAAGTCAGTATTTTTTCTCAAAAAGATGATACTGCATTTAAGAGTTGATAGTTTCTGAAAAATACTACAACATACTAAACCAACATACTACAACATACTAAACCAACATACATTCACTTCATCATCCCTATAACTAAACCAAAATACTACAACAACATATTAAAACAACATACATTCACTTCATCATCCCTACGACAACCAAAGCAAATAATAAAGCCCATGAAACCAAAATGATATTTCTCTATCTTCTTCACTTTGACCTCTAAATTACTAGCCTTTTCAGCTTCCACAAGTTGAAATTGCTCCATTTCGTCAAGTTTCATCTTCAAAGTATGCCTTTCAACCGTCATAACATCTTCCATTTCATCAAACAAGTTCTTAAAGCCCCTTTGAACCATCGTAGCTTGTTCCATGAGGGTAAACTTTATTTCTCAAATTGTTCCTCTCAACCTTAGCAGCATCAAGTTTAGTTTTTTAAATCTTTGTTCACCATCACCGCTCGACGAGGGAGCTCTTCGTTAATCCATTTAAAATACCCGCAAGAACTAACCTACACCATTATTAGAATTTACTGCAGTTCTGATTTTGTACATAAACAATAAAATCAAGAACGACCTAACTCGACAAAAGAAGATGGATCACATAAATCGACCAAAAACAAAATAAATTCAAAACTACCTTGGATCTTGGACATTTGTAGAACCTTCTCCCAGCATTGGCGTCTGACCAAGCTGTCAAATATAGCGCAATCAATCCGCAGTGACACCTTCTAGCATATTGAATTTCATGCGCATTCACAGATAAATCAGACATTGAGCAAAAATTTGGAGATTTGAGCAGAAATTGGAGCAAAAATTTTGAAGGGAAAATGAAGATTTTTAAATTTGGGGAACAATGACAATTAGGATTTTGGGAATATGTGAATATCGGTATTAGAAGAGGGAAAATAAGAAGAGAGAATAGCTTATGTGGATGTCATGTCATGGCTTATGTGGATGTCATGTAGGATACAAAATGCCGATAGGAAGGAGCCGTTAAGTTGAAGGCATTAGTGGCCCATTTTGCTAACGGGGAGGATATTTTTTGCCCAGTTTACTAACGGAGGGCATAAGTGAACTATATACTATAGTTTAGGGATATTATTGGACCTTTTCCGTTAATTCTATGCTCTTATGAGAAATCCACATAATTCCTTGGTGAATAAATAGTGAAGTAGAAAGGAAATAAATAATTAGAATTTGTAAGGTACAAATTGAAAGAAGGAAAGATCGACTGCAGCTATAGGGACATTCGATCTTCACTCATTTAATGATCTTCTTCTCTCGAGCTTATCGTAAAAGATAAAATGGCTAAATTTACGAAAGTACTCTACATACATCATTAAAGAAAACTGTTGCACTTATTTAGCTACATAAGCCAACACTACATTGAGAATCTTACAACCAAACTTGCCAAAGCTTGAGCTAAGAAATATGCAGGGAGATCACGCTGCTGATATGCACCTAGAGCAATAAACATTCACATAGGCTACAATTTCATTGTGATCATCAGTCCAGGACTCCAGCACGTGCCCAGAGCACCAAGACACCGGCTTTTTTGCAGCGATATAGCAAAGTCCAAAGTCTGCAAAAGCACACCAATAATTTGATCATTAGTCCGGGACTCCATCCGTTTGATAACTCTTTCATGTCAGCTTCTCTTCAACCCCTTTTAAGTCTTGGATTTAGATGATGATTTGAAGGAGAAAATGGAGAACGAGATGAAGAAGAAGATGAAACGCCCCCACTGCTACTGGTTGATGACCACATTTTTTGGAGAAGCAGAACAAAGAGTAAAAAGGGAAAAACTTGATATGAGAAAGCGAATTTAGAATGTAATCTTTTATCTTCTAGCTACTACTACTTCTTTCTAGCACTACCACTTACAATAAAAAAAGACACAAAACTCCTCAAAACCAACCAGCCCTTAGGCGCAATCTCGACGGAGGGGAGGCAATACAAGTCACAAAATGGGTGATGTCTGCTTTTGTATTGTCATGTCGAAATGGTACGATAATCCATGCACCCAAATATTTGACGCTTTGGCGGTGAGAGTGTACTAACATTTTTCTAAAGTCACCTTAAAAGGAGTACCAAGTCGGGAGAAGAAGAGAAAGAATGAAGAATGAAGCCACCGCAATCATCTAGTTTAGTAAGGAAAAAAAAAAAAAACTTTTGAAATTTATGGTTTTAAGGGATAAAACTTTGTGGGGCCATGACTTTTATGTGGTTATAAAAGCTTCTCATTAAGGATAAAATGAGTAAAATGAGGAGTTTAAAGTTGAATTATTTTCAAATTTAGAAATGTATCATTTATTTTAAAACAGACTAAAAAAGGAAAGTACCTTATTTAATATGAAACGGAGGGAGTAGTAATTAAAGGCATTTGATTTGAACTGGTAATACAGTTGGGGAGGGGAAAAAAAGAGGACTTGTCTTAATGTAGTAAAATTTATTTCCTTGTTTTATGCACTGCAACAACCTAGCTAGTGAACTACTTTTAGGAATACTAAGTGGCTATATTTATCATAATTCAAAAAGTCATGTCATAAGAATTTGGGTTGAAGCTATTGGTAAAATATGAATTTGTGAAAATGGGAGACACTTGTACTTGTTCCGGTTTGTTATCCCGGTCCCTACACTCCATAAAGTTTCATCTAGACACTTCAACTTAATCAAAACAAGACTTTTAAACCCTTCTGATCGTTGACCGGGCTTATGTGGCATTGATATGGCTGAGGTGGACAAAATAAGTGATCTACACGCACATTAGGTGCGTGAGCTGATGATTTTTCTTTATTAAAAAACTAAAATAAATAAATAAATAAAAAATACTATTCTTCTTCTTCAGCCCCTACCAGGCCCCTTCGTTCTGCCCCCCCTCCCCCACCCCCTACCCCCGTCTTCTTCTTCTTCTTCTTCAACCCCTTCCCCCCTCGTTCTGCCCCCCTCCCTCTTCTTCTTCTTTATCCCTTTCCCCCTTTCGTTCTGCCCCCCCCCCTCCTCTTCTTCTTCATCCCTTTCTCCCTTTCGTTCTGCCCCTCCCCCCTCTTCTTCAATCCCTTCCCCATTTGCTCTCCTCCCCCCTCCTCTT